CAATATATAAAAATCAATTATATTTCTATATATTAACAAAAAAACAATGGGAAAATGAAGTACTAAAAATAGCATTTAGAATGGTATAAAATATGAAATACTTAGGGATAAATTTAGTGAATCCAATGAAGACGTTTGCATGGAAAACTACAAAATATTTTTGTGAAAAATTAAAGATTGTCTAAATAAATGGAGAGATAAAGGATTTTCCTAGATTGGAAGATTCAGTATTGTCAAGATGTTAGTTTTCCCTAAATTCATCTATAGATTTTATGTAACACAAATTAAAATCCCATGAGGCTTCTCTATGGAAATTAATGAAATCATTCTTAAATGTCTATAAAAATGCAAAGACCTTGTGGCACCTGGGTGGCTCAGTCAGTTGGGTGCCTCCCTTCAGCTCAGGTCATGATCCTAGGGTCCTGGGATTGAGCCCCACATCTCCGTCTTCTCCCCACTCATGCTCTCCTCTCACTATCTCTCTGTGTCTCTCAAATAAATAAATAAAATCTTTAAAAAAATGAAAAGAACTTGAGTAGTCAAAAACAATTTTGAAGAAGAAAAGTAAAGTTGTATGAATTATGATACCTGATTTCAGTATTTACTTTACAGCTACCTTAATCAAAGCAATATGAAATTGGTGAAAGGATACACATATAGGTCAATGAAATAGCTAAATAAAAGAAAAATATAAAATCAATTGATTTTCAACATAAATGTAAGGGGAACTCAATGGAGGAAGGAATAAGATTTTTAACAAATCATGCTGAAACAACTAGACATCCATATGGAACAAAAAAACTTTGACTCTTACCTATATCATCCATAAAAAAAGAGCTATAAGTATATCACAGATCTAAATATTAATAGTAACTTCTTAAATAAAGCACAGAGAAAATCATAACTTTTGATTAGGCAAAGATTTCTTAGGTAGGATACCAAAAGTATGAACCATAAAGGAGAAAGGTTGTAAATTGAACTTCATCCAAATTAATTTCTTCTTTTCTTTGAAAAATACTATCAAAGAAGTTAATAGCAAGGCCATAGGTTGGGAGAAAATATTCACATTACATATATCTGACAAAGGACTTGTATTCAGAATATATAAAGAACTCTTACATCTTAATAAAAAAGACTAGGAATGCAATTTAAAAATGGCGAAAATCTTTTTTTAAAATATTTTATTTATTTATTTGACAGAGAGAGACACAGTGAGAGAGGGAACACAAGCAGAGACAGAGGGAGCGGGAGAAGCAGACTCCCCACTGAGCAGGGAGCCCGATGAGGGGCTCGATCCCAGGACACTGGGATCATGAAAAATGGGGAAAATCTTATTTATTCAAAATGAAGATATGAGTGGTTACTATGAAATAAATTATACTTGTTTATATACTTACATGTCATTAGGCAAATGCAAATTAAAATCACAATGTCATACCACTACACACCCACTAGAATGGGGGGAGAGGATATGGAAGAGCTTCAGTTCTCATGCATTACAGTTGAAATATAAAATCCTCAGTTGCTGTGGAAAATATTTTCGTAGTTCCTTATAAAGCTAAACATTAGCTTATATACAACTCAGCCATTATACCCCTAGGTATTTACCTAAGAGAAATTAAACCATATATCCATACAAAGACCTATATATGACTTTGTATTTACAGTAGTCCAAACTGGGAAGGTTCAAAAACAGATGAATGGATAAATAAGTTGTGAAATAGTCATACAATGGAATACCACTCAGGAGTCAAGAAAAACAGACTATGGATCTGCAATAGCATGTATAGATATCAGAAACACTGTAGTAAAAGAAAGAATCCAGATATAAAATAACATAAACTGCATAGCTCCACTTATGTGAAATGCTAGGCAAAAAAAAAAAAAAAAAAAAAAAAAAAAAAAAATCTGTAATGATAGAACTTAGGTTAGTGCTTGTCTAGAATGCCTGGGAATGACATGTAGGTTTAAGGATGGAGAGGGAATTTAGGGGGTGATGAGAATGTATACTGGTTTATACATTTGCCAAGACTCAGCTAACTATAGATTTAACAGTTTACTTCATATATTATACCTCCAATTGATAGCATTATTTTTAAAGAGCTTTAAAATATACTGTCAGAAGCTTTGATGCTGTTTAAAAAACCAAGTTGATTCTCTACAAATAAAAGACAACTAAGACTGAACAAGAGATAGTTTGGTGAAAGGCATTTGGGTCGGCCAGGTAAAGTGATCATGTGATGCTCTTCACTTACCTTCTTTCCTTCTTTCTTCCTACCTCAAGGACCCCAAAATATTATTCTAGCCTGTTTAAAACCACTTCCTATGAAACAATGGAATTCCTGTCTTTTTTCTTCTGACATGAAAATTTACCCATTGTGGGACCCCATATCCTTCAGTAAAAAATAAGTTAAAATGAAAAGTGAATCAATAATTTCCTGCTGGTTTGGCTAATATATTAGCACCATCTAGTAAAGATATGGAACTATTCTTGGTTTCAGGAATCCTGGCAAGAAGAATCACAGGATGGAGGTACCTGGAGTTCATTGCTCATCCAACCCTCCAAAATGGCTATGTGAGAGGGAGCTGATACGGGAGGGTGGGTCCAGGGGCTGCATGCCTAGCCTTTGTTGCTCATATAAATGCAAGCTGGGCAACAACCATGATGAGTCTTGTAACTCATGTACATTAATTATACCTGTATATACTCATCACAATGTTTCTCTTTGATTTTGCTTTCATATTAAAAAAGACTGCATTTTAGATGTTACTTTTAATAATTTGTCAGTTGGTTGATGACTTAATCTGGATTCTCCAGAAAATATATCCTGAGGCAAAATTTAAGTGCTACAGTTTTACTAGAGTGTGCAATACCGATGAAAATAAGAATGAAGGACAAGTGGATTGAGGCATGGAAGAAGACAGAACACATAGGAGCTACAGCTGCATCTTAGGACATTTCTTAGGGGGCAATAAAGGGAAAATTATCTATCTACCTGGCTCCCACCTCTCATTCACCAAAATTCCACCCCATGGATGGCTAGCTCTCCTGCAACTTCAGATTGCACATATGTAAGTACTGAGAAGGTAGCATCTTGGATCTCATTGTCAACTGAGAAACTTGAAAGTGGGAGGTGAGAGACAAGGAATGTGGACATGAAGTGAGAGATGTGAGTTTGTTCTCATGCAAAGCTGATCAGAGCTCTTGTGGAATTGCTAAAGCAGCAACTGGGATGAAAAATAAGGTCAAGAATCTCAGACACTGGGGCTCCTGGGTAGCTCAGTCATTAAGCATCTGCCTTCAGCTCAGGTCAAGATCCCGGGGTCCAGGGAGGAAGCCTGATTTTCCCTCTCCCAATCCCCCTGTTTGTGTTCCTGCTCTATCTCTCTCTCTCTGTCAAATAAATAAAAAAATCTTAAAAAAATAGAATCTCAGACACTGGTTAATGCTAAGATCTGAAGTAGTACACAGCTGGATAATAATTACATTTGTAATGTGGTTTTGCAAGTTTTAGAACATATAAAATACTAGAAAGGGGGATAATACTTATTATATTACCAGCTTTACTCATTTTATTCTCATTGTTTACTTTCTATAGCTGTGATCCCCAGCAGGGCATTTCTCTAAAAGAAGTATATGCAAATAGGAGAAATAGACTGAACCATGAATGTGGAGGGGAAGGTATGATAACATAGAAATCATTTTCCTTATAATTCCATTGCACATTAACAGGACACAGAACACAAAGTAATTGTGAACAGACTTTTCCAGAAAACAATTAGGGAGCTATATTTATCTCTTAACCTATCTTAATATCAACTTTTCAGGTTCTGCGATCAAATTTTCTGTTCCAAAAATAAAATTGCTGATTTTTTTTAAAAAGACCATGATATTTAAGATTAATGCACAGAAACATGCCAACTTGAGAATAAAGGTCTAGACTTAGGTATTTACCTACATAAAGTCTCAACAATAGAAAAGAACACCTTAATCTTTTTTTTAAAAGATTTTATTTATTTGTGTGTGAGAGAGAGAGCAGTGGGAGGAGCAGAGGGAGAAGGAAAAGCAGACTTTGCACTGAGTGGGTAGCCCCGTGTGGGGCTCAATCTCAGGCCCCTGAGACCATGACCTGAGCAGAAACCAAGAGTTGGATGCTTAACCAACTGAGCTACCCAGGCACCCCCAAAACCTTAATCTTTATAGAAAAAAGTAAGTCAATACAGAAAGGCAGTTATCTACTAATTAATTAAGTCCTGGAATGGCCCAAGAAAGTCTATCAAGCACAAAAGTGAACTTGATTTGTAGGTTTTGATGGTTGACCACAAGTAGAATTGTGTAACCATGTTTCTCAATATTAGAAGTCTGAGGCACAGGGAAACTTTATTGAAGACTATTCACTAAAGAAAGATATGCAACCTGTGGTCATGGATGAACAGACACCCCTTAGGTACACTGTGGTGACACACGGGGCAGGGTGGTCTGTGCTGTACATCGGTCTGTTTCTTAGCCAAAGTATCATTGGTTTTCTGAGAACCAAAAGATTGAAGCCTATCCTAGGGAAAAGAAGTTTCCTGGCTTTATAAGAACCACGGACAGCTCCACGCTGCATCGGAAAAAGCAAGTTATTTTCCCAACCCTGGAATGACAGTCCAGGGTCTCCAGGTCTGATTTAGACTCCAGCTTACTGATAAGGCGCACATAATCAGGCCTCTCTTTACCATTCATTATAAGTGTATTTATGTGAGCAGGGAGGGCCCAGTGCTCGTATGAAATGTTCGGAGGTGAGACTGAAAGGAATAGTTTAATGAGCCGATTTTTTAAAATGGTCTTACAGAACATAAATAATTAATCGGGCCGCCATGCGAGGGGCTGGATGATGGGTCAGGCGGGAAAGCCCGTGGGTGGGGGCAGGGGCGGGGATCCCCGCGTCGCTGTTTGAATGCTCAGTGGCTGTGTGGGAGAGCGGATCCCACCCAGATTAGGTCGGAGGAGCAACGCCATGTGCTCCAGGCTCCCGGCGCTCTTGCTGCCCATCTGGCTCTCCTGGACCCTGGGGACTCAAGGCTCTGAGCCCCGCAGGTGAGGTGGGGGCTTCCTCCCGACCCGCAGCCTCTATCTGGACGCTGTAGCGCGCAGTCCCGTGGGCACAGGCACTGTACCTCACCCACTGGCTTTCGGCCTGTGTCGCAGCTGGGCTGGGGTCGTAGAGGGGGTCGGGCCCAGAAAAGGGGCGGAGGGAAGCCGATAGCGTTTCCCTCACCGCCTCTGCTAGTGTCGCCGTCGGTCCCCTCCTTCGCCCGGTCGCAGAGAGCTCGGCGGAGCTGGTTTCGCGGCCGACCCCGGCCCTGCTGCGTGCAGCGCAGCCGCGGCTCCAGCTTGCTGTCCCCCGCCGGGCTCCAGGTCCCGCTCCGCAGCCGCGGGGGCGGGAGGGAGCGCAGAGGGCCGGGGCCCCCGGCCGCGGAGAGTGCGGGGGAGGCCAGGGTGAGCGGCGCAGCCGGTTCCGCCTCCGGCTCGCCTTGCCTCCTCCCCCTCCCTCCGCTCTCCAGCCCGCGGCTCCTCCTCTCCCCGGGTCTGCTCCTCCCCCTCCTCCCCTCCCCCTCCCCCTCCGCCCTCCTCCGCTCGGGGCCAGCGCGGCGGCGGCGGCAGCAGCAGGAGCAGCCCCGGCTGCGGGTCGCGACGGCGGCGGGGCGCCCCCTCCCCCGTGCCGGGGCGCGGCGGAGGGATGTGGGGCTTTGCGCGAGGAAGGCTTTTCGGCATTTTCTCGGCCCCAGTGCTGGTGGCGGTGGTGTGCTGCGCCCAGAGGTAGGGTCGCGGGTGGGTTGACGGGAAGCGGGCCGGGCGGCGGGCAGGGCGCGCGGGTGTGAGCGCCGGGCGCTGGCGGGTGAGCCACCGCCTGACCCTGTTATCTGTACCCCTTGCGCCCTCCCCCAGCGTGAACGATCCCGGGAACATGTCCTTTGTGAAGGAGACGGTGGACAAGCTGTTGAAAGGCTACGACATTCGCCTAAGACCCGACTTCGGGGGTAAGTGGGGTGTGCGCGGCCGCTGCGGGAAGCGCGACCCACCGCGCTGGCGGCCTGGGTGGAGGAGGGAAGAGGAGGGTACTTAAGCCGAGCTGCGGCGGAGTAGGGGGGTGGAGGGCATTTCCCTTGCTCCCACTCCTCGGTTAGGCACCCCCATCCTCAGAGCCACCCGCACCCCGTGCCCGAGCTTGGTTGATCAGTGTGTCGTGCTCTTCCCGCAGGTCCCCCGGTCTGCGTGGGGATGAACATCGACATCGCCAGCATAGACATGGTTTCCGAAGTCAACATGGTGAGTGCTGGCCCTCCCCAGGGCTGTCCCCGAGCCCCTGCCCCACTGTCTGGGCCCACAGGACTGGGCCAGAGGCCTTCTCTGACCGGGCCGAGCTTCCCCTGCCCGCAGAGGGAGCGGCTCTCCGGGAGCCAGCCCCCAGCTCTTGCGGCTCCCTCCACCCGCCCGGTGTGCGCTGGGGGCGTCGGGGCGTCGTTGGCATCGGTGCTGTGAGGAGGGCGCACCCTTCCTGCGGAAGGAAGGGGTCCTGGGCCGGCCTAGCGCTCGGCTTTCGCCGCAGCCCTCGTGCTCCCCAGCTCCTCCAGCGGTTTGTCACCTGGTCCTGAGGCTTCCCAAGTGCCGTCTCGCCTCCTTAGCAACAGGCGCTGGGGAGCCGGGGAAGAGAGGCGAGTTGTGGGGGTGGCTCGTATTCTAGGTAAGAGGTACCTACGGTTTCCTTTGTTGTCTTTTGGAAAGAGATGTTGGCAGCTGAAGAGGACCAGGGGCAGTGGTCTGTGTATTCTAGGGTGTCTCCGGTCAGTTTCCTCGGTCTCAGTGGCTTCTCTAAGGTCAAGCTCTTTGGTAGTGAATCCCGGAACCCCGCTCCGCCAGTCGCTGTCGGAGGTGCTGACGGAGTTCTGGCAGCTCTGAGAACTGGAGGGCCTGGGCCGCAGGCGGGCTCTCGGAAGGGGCCGCTCTGCCAGGACAGTGGAAGGCTAGTGAGCCGGGTGTCACTTAGAGCTATGTTCATGCTGTCGTGATTCAATATTGAAACCTGTGAAAGCGGAGGTTCGTGTCCCGAGGTGCGAAGTGGGTACCATAGGCTTTTTTGCTCAGGACACTTTAGGACAACAGGGAATAAGAAGAAAAATAACTCCTTTCATTTGTTAATTGAGCTGAAATGTCCTGGGATTTGGAAACAGACTTAATTTTCTGTTGAGTGGCACTTTAGAAATTGTAAGAATGAACATTTGGAAACAATGTTTTTTGGGAAAAACCATTTGGCGACTTTTTTTCCCAACATAACATTGAGAATATAGTAAGGCATGGTTTCAGATAGACCCAATAGGTTTCTCAAGTCTGGTGTACGTCAGAGTCACCTGAGCAAACTTGTTTTAAATGCATACTTCCAGGTTCCTCACTCCAAGAGATTCTGATCCAGCTGTAGAGTGGAATCTTGGGGTCTCTGCATTTAAAACTAGTGCTTCACACTTTTTTGAAGCAAGTATTTTGTGGACAGTATTTTGAGAAATATCGCAATTAATTATAGAAATAGGTACATTTACAAATAAATTAAAACTATTATTTTAAATAGACTGTTTAGCAAGATATATTTAAAATATATACTACTCTGGATTTTGTAGGAAGATATCTTTGACCACACAAAATTAATTTCATCAAATTTTCACTCAATCTAAAATTTTAAAATTATAATACATGATTTTAAAGTCATGTACTTTTCTTTCAGTATATCATCTTGGACATTTTTGTACAAGGCATTATAATAATAAAAGTGTTAGTAAGAAACACAGAAGGAATATCACATACATAACATTCAAAATTAACATTACATATGTTTTACTTTTTTTATAATATTGTAAAAATAATCCTGTCCAAACGGTATGCTTTATGATCTTAAGGGAACAAGTTGACATAATCTGTGATTTTCTTAATTGAGAATTTCACATTCGCTAGAGAGAATTCTTTACAGAAGATTATTGCATATTTATTAGTGGGTTATTATATAAAAAATCTGTATATTGGATGTCAAATGAAATACAAGATACATTGATGTGGTCCTTTAAGAACTCTATACAATATTAAAACAACCAGGTAAATAAGGAGAATGCATTCTTGTACAGCATTGCACATTTTCTTTGAGTTAATTTTTAAGAATAGTTATCCAGTTGTCATCATGCTGATACTTGGTACCTTTGAAAACCTCAGCAATAGTTGCCTAATTCATGCACTGTGAATTGAAGTGTCCCAATTTTCTCTGGACCCAAATAATAGAAAGACAAATTGAAGATACAAGCCATTATACCAAATAATCTTTTAGTTTATATCCCAAAGCCAATAATTATGCATAACATAATGATAGTATACTATTTTTTTGCGTTCTCATAATGGTAATTTTTGTGGCTCTCTAAACATATATTCATTGTAAACAAATTTAAGAATTGATAGGATTGGAGATAGAAAGCCATTGAACGGTTGGGACTGCCTCACATTTGAAATATCTTCAACAAGTGGATTGAGTAAAATTTTATGCCAAAAAATATGATTTCCCTTCACATATTTGCTCACAACTATAGTTATGATATTTGACCTATTTTTTTAAAGATTTATTTATTTATTTGAGAGAGAGAGCCTGCACTTGCACACATGCATGGGGAGGGGCAGAAAGAGAGGGGAGAGAGAATCCCAAGCAGACTCTGCTGCTAGCACAGGAGCTGATGTGGGGCTCGATCCCATGACTCTGAGATCAGGAGCTGAGCTGAAACCAAGTGTGTGATACCTAACCTGACTACACCACCCAGGCTCCCCTTGATCTATTATTAAAGACACTTTGAATAGCAGTGGTTAAGCATCATTTTGGAGGTCATATTTCATAAGGAAAGAACAGAGAAATGCAAGCATAAGATTAGAACCATCCTTCAATCATGTTGCTTAAAAATAATAAATTCCATTTATGAACTTCCTTAATTACCTTATTGGTCACACGAAACTAAGTTTTGTGAAGGAATGAAACTAAATAAGAAATGGTCTTGCTTTAAGAGTATTGTAGCTATTAGGGTTGTAACAAATGGTTGTTAACAAAAAGTAGGATGTAGTCAGTTCCATTAGAGAACAAAAGAAAGGAGTACACAGAAAAGAGAGAAGGAAGGAGGGGGTGGGGGCTGATGCTGGGAAGAGGGAGAGAGATTATTTCTGACATGGAAGGTTTCATGTGTAAGTGGCATAGATAGAGGAGGGTGTTGTGGGTTAGGGAAGAAAATGGCAAAGGTATGGATGTATAGATAAGCAGGATAGGAGATTATGAAGGGGAGATCAAAAGGTGAAATTGGAAACGTAGTACAAACCCTGTTCACTTAGGTTCTTCTCTGCCATGCCAATTTCAGATGCTAATTGTCAAGAAATAAGGAGCCCCATGAATGTTTTAAGCATGTGACTGAAATGATTTGAGATGTGGTTTCAGATGGATCTTTTGGCTAAAATGTAAATTTAGATAGAGGCATGAGGATGTTGCTGTAGAAGCAAAACTTACAAAAAATTAAGGATAAATGATCATGGAAGTTTCATTCCTTGAAATTTTCTTCTTGGGTTTTCATAGATATATTTTTGAAAACATTTATTTAGTGAAATAAAAACTTACCAGTGTTTCAAATAAGAATATGTAAAGCATTTGTATCTCAAGGTGGAGCAGATATGTGCATGTTCATGAACTTTTGGGGGTGATTGTAAAGAATAACATACACTGCATAATAGTAATATTGGTACTTTTCTCTTTAAATAGTTGGAAAGCACAATCTTTATCTACTGGGAGTGCCTACAGATGGTGCCTCCAGGGATCACCTCTGTCCTCAAATAAATAAATAAATATATTTTTATATATACATGGGTACATCATCATGCTTTTTGGTATTTTGTAGAGACAGTCTAAGAATGAAATCGAGTATTTCAATATTTAACATTATTTTGCTATAACTTGTGTCATGGAGAATAGAGACATTCTACATTTCCATTTTTCCTAATCTTCTAATTCTTCTTTTCATGCACCTTTTTAATAATTAGCTGACTCGACAGCAGTCAAATGAAAACCATTTTGTCTTATATAACTTCCATTGTTTCTCTTAGCTTTTGTTTTAAAATTTCATATAATATTTTAAGATTATGCATGGTTAATTGTTTAGATTTAGTTTATATATTTAAGTGACATTATATATGTGAAAGAACACTGTTGACTGAAAATTTTTATATACATTTGTTATAATTCTGATGCTTAAGCATTGGTCCTCATGTATAAAAGCATGTGTTGAATATTTAGAGGGGGAGATGAATAAATGGAGGAAAATTATTGAAAGTGTAGGAAACATAAAGAAATATTAAAGATGTAAAACAATTAGAAAATTTTATTTTTAAAACAGTATTTTACTCAGAGAATGAAGTAGTTCTATAACTCTTAAAAATAAATTTAAAAATGAAAACAATAAAGTACTCATGTTTTTTTTAATTTGATTAGAATAAGCCATTGTTTGATTTATTAATTCAGAGAAGAAACTATACATACTTAATTTTTACTTAATTAACTTTAAAGTATTGAGGGTAGAAAACTAGATTCAAATGCTAGTAGTATTAATAGTAATTTCTATGATTTATCTTGTACTTTGTTATTATTTTATACTTAGTCCATTAAAATTAACCCAATCCTAATGAAAATGTAGCTACAGGATTATTTTTTTCTGATAGCATCCATGTAAATCATAAATTGTCTTTTTTTGGTCTTGAGTTCCTTTTAGGTAATATATTATAATGTGTATCTTTAGTTGTTATGAGGTGTATATTCATCCATTATTCTAGTTCTATTGTATTCCTTCTTCATTTGTTGCATTTTCTTATTATAAAATCCACTTTTTAAAAAAATGTCTAGATGTAAAATAAATATTGTACATAACATAGTTTTGGCACATCACAAGAAGGAGCTTTGGAGCTGTATCACTGTAAAATGGATACAGTTTCCCTCGTTTACAAAACCATGCATACACACAGGTACAGACATTTGCACTATCACTTTGTCTTTCCTTTCTTCAGAAAGAGTAGGAAAGAGGAGAAGGTCATCTTGGCTAGAGTGAGCTGGGATCTGAGGTCTGGAGAATTCAGCTTTTAGGTATTTTTGATCAAATTTATGTTAATCAATTCCCCCCACCACCACCTTTCAGAGTCTAGAGGTTTTTTTGTCAATAGAGAATGCTGAACAGTGTCCAGCATCGTGCTAGAATCTCAGGTAAAGGAAGAGCTGAATCCCAGGAGTCCAGGTAGTGTGCTGAAAAGAGCCTAATGGGGTTGGAGTTTTCGGTTCTATTTCCAAGTCTATGGGAACATCTAGCCTTAGGCAAATCACTTAATGTTCAGTAAATCAGTTGCAGACTTTCCAGATACCCATAGCATGCCTACAGAATGGATTCCGAAGTGATATCACACTTTATAGAGAAAATCGTGGTAGACAATCACAG